GGCCAAATTTGGCTGCTACCTACTTTTGTAAATAAAGTTTTACTGGAACACAGCCACTCCCATTTATTTACATATTGTCTATGATTGCTTTCACATGGCAATGACAGAGTTATGAAGTTGCAATAGAAGAAATCACTGAAGAAATACTTACTATCTGGCACTTTACAGAAATGTTTGCCAACCCCAGCTTTAAACTATGGATTTGTTCAGAAAACAGCTATGACCACACTTATTAGTGTCCTTCAGGTAAGAGGGTGTTTTGGCTCCTTGAAATCAACTTCTGTGTCCACAAATAGGTGACGGGGGAATCCCATGATGGTTGAGAAGAGCATGGACTCTTGAGTCAGAAGGCCCAAGTTTAAACCTAGCCTCTGTACCTCCCTACCGTGTAACCATAGACAAGTTACCTCTGTCTCAGCTTCTTCATCTATAATATACAAACAATAACAGTGCCTCCCTCACAGAATTCTTTGGAAGGTTAAGTATGTTAATGTTGGCACAGAGTTTAGCCCAATACTTATTGGTTGTTATTGTTATCATCTAATACTGTAATTTTTTTAAAACAGGATGGTGACCAGTTAAATGTATTTGGAGAGGACACTGTGGAAGGTGAGTTTCCTTTTTCTGATCTGACCAAAACTGTCATTTTAGTAGCTTTAAGCATATCTTTTTTTTATTAAATATTAGCTAAGAGATGATAAATATCAACACTAAGTACTTAGCCTTTAGACAGGGAATGTGATTAAGATGGGATCTCTTTGGATCTCTCCCTTCTTGATCCATGTAAAGAACGAAAGGGTTGACTTACTAAGGGATGCATTTCTTAGCTGTGCCTACAAAATGTTATTCCCGAGATGCTTAGTGAAAAGGGAGTGTTCTGGTTAGATATGTTTGGAAAATATCTAACACTCCATCCCCTTTAGAAGATGCACATATATAAGCACATAGCAAGGCTCCAAGAAGTCCTGCTTGCACAGCTGTTTAATTCAGCATACTTCAAGTTTATTGGAACACAAAACTCTTTTTCCTGTAAAGCAGTTACTATTCCACAGAAGTAGTATTCCACTGGAACACTAAGAACCTAAGAAAGACCAGGATTATGCTGCTTTGTAATTTTGCCATATTAAAAGTCTTGCAAAAACTGAAAAGCCAGCAATACTGATAACTGAAAATAGATGAGATTATGTGACCTTAAGAGATAAGGTTTATGATCGCCATAGGTGCTTTGGCATAAGTACTTTCTAACATTTCCTCTCTGTGGTAAGTACTGTTATAGTTATGATCCATAGAGATATGTTTGTAGTATTGACTATGAGTGCATACAAGT